TCTGTGTCTGTGTTAATTGGTTTCCCTTTTCTTTGTTGAAGATGGTCTGTGTAGTCTTTCTGCCTAGTCCACCATCTTGCCAGAACTCTCCCGACTAGCACTTTTTGTGGGAATTATTATAGTGCTAATGAGAACAGCATTGTCTAGTCAGTCCCTTATTAAATTACCCAGAAGTCATTATTTACAAAATTTTAGGCAAAAAGGTAGCAGAAATATGTTTATAGAAAGTTCACCTGCTATAATCCCTAAATCTTTTTGCATATGATTTCACTACTATATTCTTAGTATTTAACTTTCAAACATATGTTTCAATCAGCTTATTTAAGGCAATTTCTAGGATGTCTTCTCTTTTGCCATCCAGAAGAATTCTAAACCATACTGTAGCTCTAATCAATTATTATTAGTCATAGAATTCCAACTTAATTCAATAATCACCTAAACAAAATATGATTTCCAAGAAAATATATTTCTGTACATATCCCTCAATACCAAGAAAACATGATACATTCCAAACCATTAAAGATCTATCCCTTGCTTTTGGGACTGTAATATATTATCTATTCATTTAACAACAATTTGTTAAATCCCTATTAAGATAAAATGTTGAAAACTGAATAATTAGGAGTACCCATGACCCTGAAATTGCCTTATAAAAAATTATTTGAACAAAAATATACTCTCTTTTTTATACCTTATTGTCAGTCCTAATCGTGACTTTCAGTTGTGGTAGTACACGTTCCACTTCTAGACTCCATTCTGCAGCATCTGTTGTAGATTCCAAAATATCTTCTTGTTTGGCAGACTCGTTCATGTCCTAAGAAAGGAAAGATATCACAAGATTGAGAGTTTATAAAAAGAAATGGTGAAAAATTTTGAAGCATTTTAGCAGCACTGCACAATTTAAATCAAGTATGGTCGTGTTAAAATTACAGTGGCAGTACAAATTCTTTTCTGTCTTCCTCTTAGCAATGTTAAAAGAAAATAATCAATTAACATGATAGAATACAAAACTAATTATTAGAAAAAAAGATGCAAATATACGATTCAACTATTTTCATAGCAAGATAGCATACTGAGCTCAATGGAAATATTATCAAATGGGCAAGCCACTTTTTTAGCTATGTTATTGGGCAGAGTAGAGGAGATATACTCACCCGTTCATTACGAAAATAGTGTCCTAGTTTGAACTTACTATACTGAAATACAGACCCAAAATCTGAAAGAGGAAAATGATAAAATACCAGAAGCAAAGGACTCATAATTAAAAATTTTTTTATTAATTAATAAAGTAATATTTTGTATAGGAGAAATTTTAATGCAGCTTAAAAATGTTATTTAACACAGACCTACTGGAATTCAAACAAGGTGGGGGCTAAATGTCTGTATTTGGGTTCTACCCTTCTGTTATAAAATCAATTCATAACTGTTTTGAATCACAAAATGAAAGTTTTTTTTAATTTTTTTCTGATCTTTCATATTTCAGCTATAACTATTTATGAATCTGAAATGTAAACAATGTGCAAACTAATGGTTCAAAAATAATGCCTAAGGATTCAATTTTGGTAGCAAATTATTCCTTAAGTTTCCTAGATAAATTATAAGATAATGTAAAGAAAAAATAGAAATACTTATTTATATTGGCACAAAAGAGACCCAAGACATATTAACCACCAAATTTAATGCATGGAATATTATTTGAACCATCTGTAAAAAGACGTTTTGAGATAGGAAAATTAACTATAAAACAGTATTAGATGATATAAAGGAGCTCTGGTGGTGTAGTGCCTAAGGAATTTGACTGCTAACCAGAAGGTTGGTGGTTCAAACCCACCAGGTGCTCCATGGAAGGAAAATGGGGCAGTCTACTTCCATAAAGATTTACTGCCTCAGAAATCCAATGGGAGTCTGTGAGTTGGAATCAACTTAATGGCAGTGAGTTTTGAGTTTGATTAGATGATATTAAGGAATTATTATTAATTTTGTAGGTGTGATAACATTATGGTAATTATGGAAAAAAAGTTTTTAATGTATAATTTAATTAGCATTATATCTAGGATTTCATTTAAAATACTATTTAAAAAAAAAACCTCACTGCATCGAGTCTATTCTAACTTATAGCAACTCCCTTTGGGTTTCGGTTTCTGAGGTGGAAAATCTTTAAAGAAGTAGATTGCCCAACTTTCCTTCTATGGAGTGGCTGGTGGATTTGAACCACCAACCTTCTGGTTAGCAATCAAATGCCTTAGGCACTACACCATCAGAGCTCCTTAAAATGCTACAGGAAAGGAAATCAAGAAATGAAGTTTTAAAGGAAATGTGATTGACAAAATGTGAATAACTGCTGAAGCTGGGTAATGTCTAAGTGTTCATTATCTTATTCTCTCGCACTTTGTATATGTTTGAAATTTTCCATAGTACAAAATTTAAACATAACATTGTTAACCTCGTGGCAAAATTATACCCTAAATGTGAATTTATGTCACTAAAAGACACTTCTAACATGAAAGGCTCATTAGGCTAGTGTTTCTAATCCAGTCTAACATCAAGTAGTAGATTAACATTAGAATGAGGTTTAAATTTGGTGGGAGCATGAGATCTTTAGGGGATTACAACTCACTTTCAGCTGAAATGTCAGGGCACTCTAATATAAGAAAGCCTCTCCAACTTTGCAGCTCATGTTAGAAAGTTCTGAATAGACTCATAGTCTTAAAAGGACTATCTATTGCTTTTTGTTCAGAAATTCAGGAGGCTGTATATTTCTAACCTCACAATTGGAGGATTAATAACTAAATACATGCTTTTACCATTTAAATATGTAAGCTGAAATATTTATTCAGTTATATTCCATTTAGAAAAGCACAAGTATACAAAAGTATAAGCATTCATTTAAGAAAAGTAAAATGTGGAAACTGTAAGTGAAAAAATCTCAAAATGCTATTTTAAACATTGAAGTGCTCATTTAAATATGAAAAACATTGTATTAGAGTACTCGGTGGAATGCTGTATACTTCTTAGGAAGCTGAATCCAGGGTAGCACAAGAGCACCATAGCTGTAGGTGGTGGTGGGGAGAGCAGTATTCACAAAGCAGGTCTATGAAGTTATATGAGACACATGTGACAGCAGAGGAGATATGGGGTCTCCCGGTTGAAACCTGAAAGTAACAGGAAATTCCCTCTTACTTATATCCACTTTGGCCCCAAGAATAAGCATTTGCTCAGAAGAACTAGGCATATGTACACCCACTGGCATATCTGGGTACCTGCTTCCTGCTCTAGGAAGTTCGATTCTGATTGGCCCATTTTCTAAACCAAAAAGGGTAAACTCATGGCGTAGGGTGGAGTATGTATGTAATGCCATTGTGTGTGAGCCCTGACAATCTGGAATACGTGTGTAGGTAAACACATAGGGTTGCTCCTGCCAGGATACAGGCTCACATCCATTCAGCCCACAGAGCCAGGCTGAACCAAAGAGGCACATCCTCTCAGCAGCAGTTTTGCAGGATTCTTGACTGAATGTAGATGCACTAATTTAAAAATGTTTATATAACCACTGTTGGGGTGAAAGAAAGTTGGATGCTACTGATTAAATTGTAGAGCCAGTGCTCTCCAATTTTATCCCCACATTCCTTATCCTTTCTTCTTCCCCTTCTTAAAAAAACCAAAACCAAATCCGTTGCCATGGAGTGAATTCCAACTAATGGCAACCCCACGTGTTACAGAGAACTGAGCTCCGTAGTTTTCTTGGCTGTAATCTTTACAGAAGTAGATCACCAGGATTTTCCTTCATGGAGCCACTGGGGGGGGGGGGTTTGAACCACCAACCCTTCGGTTAGCAGATGAGGGCAAACCGTTTGCTCCATGCAGAGACCTTTTTAAAGTCCAGAATCAACAAACAAGGCCAGAGTGGGCATCGAATCACATTCCCACTTTCTTCGGTCTGAATGTAAGATTATTCAAATTGTGAATAATAAACTCACTTAAAAATTTTACTCAAGAAGAGTTCACTTTTCTAATCTTCACAAAGGCAAATGGGTTAGCAGTGGCCCTGTTTGAATCTGACCCAGACTCTAAGCATTAGAAGGGTACATGAAGATTAACCGCTGCATTAGGATAACCCAGTGTGTAAATTACTATTCGTTTTATAGTGGGCCCTTTAGTAAGTTGCCTTTAACTTTACCAGCTTATTACCTGATTCCCTTAACTTCCTCTGCCCTGAAATGATTTAATGTAGCAGTTCAAAACTTTTCACTCACTTCTAGGTCATACCTAATATACTTGGAGAAATGACCCAGTTACTAAATGAGGGGCGAAAAGAGAGTATGACTTGATAGAGCAATATTACCTTATGCAAACTATATATATAGTTTATCTTTACTACCATATTGGTCCATATATTTCATAATCTTGTTTCTCATTCAAAATTTTCCAATGCCTAATAACTGGATACATTAACTGAGCAAGCCCTAAATATGAAGTACAAATCATTTAAAAATGCTATACCTTGGCTTTGGTTATAACACTTTTTGAGAAAACCTTTCCCTACAGTTGTTTCTCCATTTAACAAATGGTATTTTATGTGGAGCTATTAGTACAGAGAAATAAACTGCTGTTTCTGTTTAATCAAAATTTTATATCATCGTGACAAAGTCCCCCTCTGAAACAACATTAACTGAGATAAAACATAGCTCTTGGGAAATTGCATTTTCCAGTTACTGCTGCTGTAGAAATAATTAGAAGCTCAATAAGATACAGGTTATCCAGAAGTTTCATTTATAATTAATTAATTTAACCACTAAACCATTTGTTAAGCTCCTACAACATGCAGTGTACAAAAGCAGACACTGTGGTGGGTATGGAAAGATAAAAAAAGAATTTAATCCTTTCCTGCAAAAAGTGTACAGTCTATTATTAAGAGTTTAAGGCTAGGTAAAAGCAGATATTGACGAAATGAAAACTGATCCTAAAATTGGCAAAGGAAGAACTAAAGATTAACTGTCCAAATGATCCCATAAAGTAACCTTGGGCTCAAATAGTGGAGCACAACACCAAACTCAGTTCAAAAAATCAAACAAGAAATGTTAACAGCCTGCTAAGAATTCTATTCCTTAGGTAACTTCTCCCTTTTTCTCAATAATACTATGTAATGGTTAAATATCTGTAGAGAGATTTCCACATATATTATGGGATATTGTTGGTGTAATGCAGTGGTTAAAACATTAGGGTGCTAACCAAAAAGCTGGTGGTTTGAACCCACCAAGCCACTCCATGGGAGAAAGAGGAGGCAGTCTGCTTCTGAAAAGATTACAGCCTTGCAATCCTATGGGGCGGTTCTGCTCTGTCCTACAGGGTCATTATGAGTTAGAACCAACTCATGGCAGTGGGTTTACTTAGTATAATGGTTCCAGGGGGTTGACAGGGGCCAAGCTTATCAGCAAAATCTGAACATGAAGGTAAATAAAGCCTTCTGCAGCCTACTAGGTGTTGGGTAGCCTGTGTAGTGCTACAAAGCTGTTCTGGTCAGACTGGGTTAAATGTGAATACAAAGCCTGATAGGCTTGCAAAATATCTCCACCTTTTGTTAACTCTGGTGACCCCAGCTAGCTCCTAATTACCCAGCAGGAGGAGTGATGAACCTGACGCTAAAGGAGAGACAGACCCATTAACAAGTAAGTGTCAACATTATTTTTTTTTTAAAAAAACACCTGTTATAGATGATACAATACATGGCAGCATTGATCAAGTTTTTGATGAACTGTTATCTTAAAGAACTTAAAAAAAAAAAAAAAAGTCAAACACTTTTGGGTAAAACTTTTC